ACCGTAGAAAGACTACAGGCCTACTATAGGCAGTGAAATTGTCAAAACAAGAATACGTATCTGAACACCTTTCAGTAAAGTCATATACATAAAAGCACAGTCACACATCACTGTGTAAACATCGCCAACTGCATCTGAGCTGCAGAGATATTAGTGCTGCAGGCATTGATATGACTGATAACAATGTTTAAAGTCTGGTGTCACTTCAGTGAATCAACAGACATATGAACTCTTGACCTGCTGTTCCTTTCCCACTAAAGAAAAAGAAACATGATGCATCACCCTCACCCTAAAACTGAACTGGTGGTTTTGGGGTTTTGAGCAATTCCATCACAATCCACTGCAGAATTAGCCCGCTCCACTCAGTGGACTGCAAGCATTCGTCAGCAAACTCTGCAGTGAGATGCAACTCGATGGCAGTCGACGTTTCCCCTAATGGGAAACAATTACACACTCAGTGGCTTCTTCAGTGACTTCTGATGAGACTCATTCACTGAGGAAATGGCCACGTAATCATGTGTGTGTAATGCGCTAACGCTGCTTATTGCTCACTGAGTCGGGCTCATGCTGAGCAAGTCAGAGCTTCAGTGGACTCTTTAGCCACCATATGAGTTTGATGAGAAGAGAAATGTGAAGGGAAACAGCCATCAGTGTACAACACGCACACTCAGAGAAATACCTCCAGTGACGTCGACGCCACTTTAAATGTTTCCAAGCAAATAAGTCTCCCACAAAGCCAAATAATTCCTATTGCTTCCTCTTTCTCAGTAGAGTGACTATGTGAATAGATTACACTGGGAAACGGGCACTTTTTATGATTCATACCCAGCTGGACTCCGGCACTGATGTAAACACTCAAACAGCCATGGAGACATGCAGGTTGTCATTTTAAGCTTCAGTGATAGATCATAGTCATTTTCCCAACAACTGGTTCAGCTGTCTTAAAACTAGGACTTGATAGACATGATAGAAGCTATTGCTCTTAAATCTGAGTTTAAATCATTCATTTAAATAACAGATGGATTCTGTTATTTAAATGAGTGAAGATTTTGAGATGTTTTTTTATTATAGTATGTACAGCTGTTAGGCCAAAGTCTAATCTCACATTTTCTTTTTCACATATTGCAGCATATTGAATTGATTTTGTGACGCTAGACCCCCTGCAAAACGAGCTATTTTCTTATAAAAATCCGTCAGTTGTTATCTTAATATACAACCAGTAACTGATATTGACAAGCAAAGTATGATTTAATGTTACTGCGTGAGAATTTCATGCCTTAACCTATGCAACAAGTCTAAAGCCATGTAACCCTGAGGGCAATTAATTACATCAGTGTGGCTGCTGATAATGAAGTTATCTATCATCAGCAGCTACAAATATTTTTGCATTAATCAAATCTACTATTTATAAAATTACCAATCTGAATGCTACTCTCTCCACTGATCTGCTTTTTCAATTCCTCTACGATAAACTCTGATGTGAATCACAAAGCTTTCTGATTCAGCCATGACAACTCAGACTGGTTTGCAGTACAGATATTACCATTTATTTATTACCATTTGCATGATGAGTGTTAGGGTTATGATTACCAATCTTGCATATATCATGTTGGTTATGAATACAAAGATGATGCAAATAATAAGCAACAGTGTCACTTTTTATGTCTTGGATTCCAATGTGGTGATTTAGAGAACTCGTTGGAAAGTTATTCAGAAGCTGGTAAATTCTTCTGGTTTAAGGAACCACCTTTTACCCAATGGGTTATTTTAATAATTATATTGCTCATCAATGACAACCATATGAAATTAGCCAGAAACAAAACCCTGAAAATTGCTAATGTGACTTTCTGGGAAAAAATAAGAAATTATTTGTCAAATATATTTGCATTTAGTGCATGCAAGCATACTGATATTAATTTAGCCTTCCCTCACTGCGTAAAAAGACCGAAATACTCTGAGGTGTTTTGATAGTCCTTTAGCTCTTCGGTCGCCTTCAGACTACTTCAGCATTATCTATTCAACAAACCATTTTGTTTTGACAATAACAAATGCCTCTAAGTTTTTGCAGCACTGGCATCTAAGAAATGAATATAATTTTTGTTTTTTGAAAGAAGTATTCATCTTCTTTCTCCCTTGTTGTTTGGAAAAGATAGGAGCACACCCAGATATAAAAGAAGACCTGTGGTCCTGCTTAGAAAGAAGAGATTCAGTACTGAGTGCTGTCTTTTGTTCGTTTGCTGCTGAGACACAATTTTATCTATTGGAAATCCCACTATTAACAAACTATTAAAAGGACATTGTATCTGCAGAAGCAGAGAGAGGTCAGTGACAGCTTTTATATGACAACATACTAACATATCTCCAAGGAACAGCATCTGTTTTGTTTAACAGTGTATTTGGCTTTCCTGCAATTAACATTTCTTTTCTGCTTCAACTGTGAGTCAAACATGTTTCGATTATGTCACAGGTAGAATAATATATAAAAAACAATTAAGAAAAGGCTAACAAAAGTCCAAGTTGGCTATGAATAACTAGCAAATAATCAGTTCAGGACACGTATTTCAATCCTAAACTGCCTTCATCTCTGCAACATGTGGCCGGGACAGTTTATCATACTGAAGGTTTATCTAAGTGTGGGGGAGAAGTGCTATGCTGCAGGGAGAGATTGCCTTTACTTCCACAGCACCAACAGAGCAAAACAATGTGCCGCATGATAAAAAATTGCTTCATAACTCTCACATTGTGTGTCTGGCATCATTATGAGGCACAATAGCCTCTGGAGGGCCCCGGCTTTTATTGGCGTGCCTCTTGCAGCAGCAAAGTCTCATCCATTAAACAAATCAGGGGGTTATGTATTAGATTAGCTGTACAGCAGGCATCGGGGAACGCCTAGAAGAACACATGAAACCTCGTCTCATTCCCTCTCATAATCCCCTGGAATAAATTACCTAATTGACAGCATTAGGGTGATACTGTCAGAAGGTGCCTCTTAGAGCGTAATGTATAATGAAAATACACAACGTTGCTAAATTGCATTTTTGGTATTAAAAATGATAAACGGCAGCCATTTGGGGCATATTTAGAGTGAGGCCTCTCCTCATAGCATGCTGCCAGATCTCATTTTTCCATATTTCTTAATAAATTTGTGGTGTCAGTGATATTAAAAGCTCATTTCTGCTGAGGAATATTTAATAAAGCTTCTGTGTGATAGGAAGCCAATGTCACACAGAGAGTCAGGAAACTAGTTGGTGGCAGCTTGGATCGCCCACCCCCTACTGTGTCACCATGACCTATGAGGTGAGAAATGGACTGCCCCCCACTGGTGAAGGGTCAATACTGCAGCGGAGATTCAAGAGGTGCCCCTCACAGTTCAGCGCACTATTCATTCTGCAACCAAGCTGAAAGCGACAGAGCCTTTTGACTTTCTCCAAAGTGAAAACTGTCTGCATCCCATTTTCTTAAAGTGTTGGGTACACTTGGCTCAGTGAAGATCAGCTCACTGTTCCAGGATCAGAAAAAGCACCAGGCCAGGGAGTGGGTGTGTGTGTGGGCGAGCGGTATGCCTTCCTATTAGAAGCAAACAAAAGCCTTGAATGATTTCTGGGGACGAGCAACCTGCCTATAGCTAACAGAAGGATGTTTATAGACATGAGCAGATTATTGCTCAGGCAGATACTTTGATGTAATGGAAAATTTAAATGAAGGTAAAATGCCTCCTCCAGTCATAATAAAGCTTACTACCACTTTCAGAAGAGCATAAATATCACACACACCTATAATAATAGAACTTGCTTGCAGTTGACAGTACCTGTTATGGTGCTTACACATTCAATCAATCTTACAGCATAAGAATATACTGTGTTGCAGCTTAAATAAGTGGTTTAATCGTTCAAATTTAAAGGTAAAATGTCATTTTTGTAACTGTGAAAGTAAATACAGCTTTACTTTACTTTACTTTTAAGACTCTTACGTGTGTGTGTGTGTGTGTGTGTGTGTGTGTGTGTGCGTGTGTGTGTGCGCGCACAGAGAACTTAGGGTGGGGGGACAGTCAGAGTGCACGATTTCTGTCCAGATGTGTGGACATATTGTAACTACAGGAGGCGTTCACCCTTCTCCTAAAGTGCGAAAGTGGGCAGCAGCTGGTTCAGAAAGTAATAACCTTTTGTCACATTGTTTCCTATGCTCCCATTATCTTAGTTATTTTTCTGTCACAGCAAAGTCACCAGTTTTCAAACTATTACAAATAGCTCAGTGGGCACAATAATAGCATTATCTAAACGTTCTATTTGACTTTTATTTGCGTCATTTACACTGAGCCACCCTGGAGAAATTATTACCCTGGATATGGGGAGATATTACCTTCAGCAGTAATGTACCCTGATAGCTGGGGAAAATTTGAAATCTTTACTTATGATGGTTGTCATTTTGCTGTCAAAATGCCTTACCTTCATTACCTGATCATGTTGTCTAATAAAATTAAACAAATATAGATAGAAGTAGTCATGGGATCAACAGCAAAATTAGAATTTAAATCAATATAAAGGTGATAATAATGTAATAAAATGTATTCTGATTCAATGCATCACTCACACTAAACTCCAAAAGTTCAGTGCTGACAGTTCAGTTCAGTATTAAATCAGCAACACTTTCAATATGAGGCTATATCTTATCACATCTGGATAAGATCTTCATAAGCGCATGGAAAGACACCTATAAGTGATATTCAGCTCTATTTTATCCATTACACCTATACATCCTTCTGGCAGCATTTTATAGCTGCTGTGTTCAGTGTGACAGGTGCAAAGGAGCCGACGCACAAATTCGTGGGGTTTTGGAATCTTGTGTCAACCAATAGCAGCGCGCATGGAGTTGTGGCTGGCGGGGTTTAGGTTGATCGTCGGGCACCTGTGCCAATCACATAGTTTGTAGGAGGAGTTCAGGAACTCGGAGGTGTGTCTGAAGAATACGAGTCTACAGCTGCATACTGTATCCAAGTCGGGGAGTAATGGCATGAGTACTGCTTTATACTGTTTAGACAAGCTTTACAGTGCGCGCGCTGGAAACTAATACTCGACTTCTTCTGCTCTCACGCCAGTCACAAATTAGGCCGTCAGGCACTGCGGGGGGAGGCGGCGGACTGTAAGACAAACTGTAAACTTAGTCAAAAGCGACTAAAGTCCCCCAAACTCACAGGCTGAAGAGGCTTCGAACGCAAACGATTCATCCTTGCTGGCTGTTCCAAGGGAGGATACACTGCTGGACATGTGAATTTAAAGGAGATACTTGCTAAGCACAACAATGAAACCAACGACTACCCCGTGTTGCTTCGGCTTTCTCCTGACTTGCTTCTTGTTTGGGTCGAGCTCCTCACAATCAGGTGAGTCAACGCCGTCCATCTGCTCTCCGGTGCGCAGTTTTGTGTATCCGTGGAGCTGGTCGGTGCGCACTGAGCGCACTGGGACAACTGTTCATGGAGCATACTTTTCTATTACCGTTGTTCTTTTTATGCGTATAACAAAGGCTTTAGGGCTCGACAGATAATTCGGCAACTCCTACTGCCATTTTCACAATTGGTAAGCATCCTAATGTTGAAGAAACGTCTAAATCACAGCCTTGACATTCCCCTGACAAGGGACTGGCGTACATAGCGCTGTGATACTGAAACACAGGTGTTTGAGCAGATGGCAGCGAGTAGCAGGACATATCTGTTGTGATAACCTGAATGCATCCAAGCGAGGGACTTGCTCTGTCTTCTTCGTGCACAGAGCGGCACTGTTGAAGTTGGAGGGAAATGAGAGCATTTGATGTCCATCACACGTGTCTTTAGACACAGTGTGGACAAACACAGAGGAGTGACAGCCGTGCTTTACAACAGGCTACTGTGCTCTTGTCTTCCCTCCTGTGGATTGACAGGCTGTCTAATGCACGACTAGTTTCAAAAGTTCTGTCTTGACTTTTTCTTCCCCTCCTGACTAGTTTATCCCAAAATAACAGATAGTAGGAATAAAAAAAGCTGGTACCCATACACAGTCATTTCTTGGAAATATCGGTTGGTAGAACAGTGGGTTGTATTCACCAGGTCTAAGCTTCAAGCCTTGTCATTTCAAGGGCACCGGCTTGATCAAACCACTTTAAGTCCTGCTGTTTGGAAAGAGTCTGTGGTTGTTGTGTTTTAATACTGATCTTTGTAACTCTCTCACCTGTACAAAGGGCGATAACAGTGGTGAACATTCATCCATATGCATTCTGTAATCGGGATAAAAGCAAAGCGGATTACCGTGAAATTACATTATTTCTCATTTTATAGTGAGTCCCCTCGGGGATCCTGTGGTTTGGCAATCAGCTTTGCAGCGCTCAGGACTTTCATGCTGGCAGTGGCAGTACCGTTTGTGCAGTGCAGCGGCGCTCTTTACGCACAGGGAAATATGGATGCGCTCAAGGAGTGAGCTTGTGTGAGTGAGAGATATTGAAAGGCTTGTAAATAAATAGACACAAGCAAAAACCACCATCACCCTCGTCGTCATCATGCATAATCACCTTTAGGCGAGACGAAGATTGAAAGGAGACTACTTATAGCGTATAAAAGGACATGCCCATTATTTTTCTGTGGGAAATTTGTCATGTATGAGTGGGTTTCTATATGATTTCGCGAATTTGGCCTCGCTGTTTAAAATATAATAATACATTTGTATTATTCAGGTTGTTCTGAGTGAAACGCTGAATGAGACATTTTGAAATCAATCATCAAATGTGATCTCATTACCAGTAAATGCGCACAGTTTACACAGGCCCGCCACTGTAACATATGAGGGGATCCGCGTCCAGAAGAGCCTTAAAGGGCACAGCGGGTGATTGAATAAAAAGTGAGGGACGCGTTTCATCCTGTCATTTTACGCACAGAACAAAGCCCTTGTGTTACAATGACGAAAACACAGTCCGATTGTTGGTGGGCCAATGTTGGAGAAACATTGACCCATGTCTCGAGGTAATTCAGGTAACACCCCCCCGAAGGAAATTCTTATTTATTTGTTATTGGATTTAGGGTTAAATTTTCACATATTTTACTACATTTCGATAACACAAGCTTATTTGTCAAGAATGCTGTTTTTGCCCAAACAAGCTGCAATAGGGATAAAATAAAACACCGCCACAATAGGGCCGCTTCGCGCACTTGAGGTTGCAACACATTGTCAATCTAACGCATTTCTCGGAAAAGGAGAGAATCCAGCATACATATGACATTGGCAATTGCCTCTCACACAAACAGGCTGATATCATCACCTGGTAGAGCTCCACACATTGTCAAATGAATCTGGAAGTTGAAAGAACACTGAAGAGAGTCAGAAAGACGCAGACAAACGTAGGATGATCGGCTTATATTGGTGAGAGAAAGAAACGCTGAGAACTGCAAAGTGCGCGAATGAGTGGTCGGATTCGCTCTTGCGCGTGCCGTAGCCGGAGGTTTTTGTATGAGGCATGCAGCGAGGAAATAGGGAGCTTCTTTGATATACGCTTGCATCTCCCTTAATGTGTCATTAAAACGTGAGACTTCTTGATGAAGTGGACTAAAGTTCTGTAAAATTATATTGCCTACCATGTCACATTTTCAGCATCTGTGAAAATCAGAACATTTTCCAGACCACCATGAGCTTTTAGTTATTGCTGAATAGCATACAAATTCTGTAACTTTCACAGCCCACAAAGAAAACCATGTAACCCTTAAGTGGAACACACAAATCACCTAAACTGGAGTTAATGGGTTTTCACATGACAGCTGGGGCACATGTCTGCAAGATGCAAGTGGACCACAGAGTCCCTGCACTGCACTCTGCTCTTCATTTGACTGCAGATATATGCCGGAGCAGGAAGATAGTGGTGGGAAGTGCATACAGCTTTGAACCATTTGTGCGCAGGAGTCATGTTATCTGTTTCAACTGCAACTGTGTGTGTGTTTGTGTGTGCGCGTGCGCGTGTGTGATAGATAAACTATGTCCATAAATGACCCATTCTTTTTTCCTAATTTAAACCTAAACTGGAAGTTGAGTTACATTTTTAAAGAATTCTTCTCAGAAGGTGCACTACCTCCCAAAAATGTAATGGAAGTTTAATAATAGTTTGGTGGCTATACCCTCTACCATCCTTGATTTTATAGTGTCCCCCACCCACTGTTTGCAGGACTTGAAATTGACAGTGCAGTTCCAGTGCAGTTCCAGTGTGTAGCAGATATGTTCATCAAAATGTTTACACCAATTCAGCAGAGGCACAGTGAGAGACTCATCTACAAAAAGGAGATATGTGGATTTGTTAGTTCTATTTTCTTTTTTACACTTCTTTTGCACCATGTTGCAGACTGTCACTTCTTGTACAACTATTCTTCGTTGTGTATTTATTTTTCTTCCACTCTGAAGGAAAGAATGGTGTCACATTTAAAGGCCTACACAGCTCTGCTACATCACAAAGACCTCTTACAGTCATATCTTTGCCTGCTGTCGCCTGATAAAGGAGCTTTGACCCTGGACTGCCACCAGGCTTTTTATTAGAAGAATGGCAGTCTTTGATTAGGTGGTGATCCACTTCCATTTGTTGGATAAAGAATGTGAACCTTTGTGCTTTCATCTTCTCTGTCTGTGTCTGTGTGAGAGACAAGGAGCAACATAAAGCGATCCACCACACGGAAATATCTGTTAAACTAATATAGAATTTAACAACAAATCCTCCTGTCTTGATTTTGCAAATTGTCATGATGTGTTTTCAAAGTTCATCAGTTCCTGGTGACGCACAAGATGTGATCATTTGGTTAATGTGATAAGTGATTAGATGTAGAATACCGCTTTATTGTTTCCCCCTTTCTGGTGATTTTGCGTTGACCTTTCCTTTCAATGACAATAATAAAGACTGATAGACATACTAATACTGTCCTAAAGTCCATACCTTGTCATATGTTACTGACAGCCAAACGACATTTGCTGCAGACAATAAATTTAAGCCATATTTATTGTCTTTTCCTCTCCTGGGGATTTCACCCTGCAGCCAGATAAAGAATAACAAACTGTCTGTTTATGTAATCTAGACTGTGGTTTCACTGTGAGAGTAGTGGAAACCATTAAGTTCCCTATAAATCTCTCCACTTCTCAACAAACAAACTGCTTCTGAACCACTGGCATCAATAATACAAGTGTAGCACCCACAACAAGGCCCAAGAATCCCTAATAAGATATCACTTTAATATTTCAACAGGGACTGAAGATGTGTGCGGCAGTAGCCCACTCAATAGTGAGTCAATGGCCTTATAGTACCTCTGCCTTATTATTGTAATATTCTTTAATTACTACCACAGGGATGTTTTATATTTGTTTTAAAATGTGTGCGATTACCACAGATTTCTTTTTTAAGGGTGACAAGAGAGAAGTTGGTAGGCTCATAACCAGCCAGCCAGCAGAAATGATTGGATCATACCCTACGTGACCTTTATGAGCGCTGCGCCCTCATTTATCACCTGCAGTCATAAATGCACCATACATGTGCATGTGTTTTGCCATGCATCATTGTCAGCCATTAAATTTCCTTTTTGTGTTGGATGTCATAATTGGATTAAAGCATGTCTGTACAGGCTTAATTTTGCCAGCTGTTAATCAAATGTGTGTTTAAAATGCAAATGCTATGTTTGTAGCGTGGTTTACAAACAATTAGATTACCACAGATTTGATGAGGTTTATTGAAAATGGAAGGCTTTCTGCTGTTTTTCATTCCCTGTATGTTGCTCTTGCTTTCATGGTTTCTCTTTTTGCTTTCAGTAAATTGAGTGAGCTTTCAGTTTGTGTGTGTGTGAGAGAATGAAAGGGAAGGGGGCAAGAGAGAAACACACAAATAGAAATACTGATAGCCTCCGTGCAGCACAGGCACCGAGTGCTGAATACCCAGCAGCCAGAGTCCTTCATTAACAAGGTAGTGCAACCAAGACAAACACTAGTGAGGAATACACCACAGCTAGTTTAGACAGATTGGGGACTAAGTTTCAGCAGCGGGGAAATAAATCTGCTGCTTTTTAATTAGGTTAGCAAATGTGCATTTAGGGCCACCAAGAAGAGCTTGCAGCATGAAAGACAATACTATTCTCAGGGCTTCTCCTACCATTCAGCATTTTTTTAACATGGTGAATTGGGATCGTCATAAACAACACTCCAACAGGCCAAATGATGTTGTGTCATACACAGTGCAGATTGTCAGTCAAAAATCCCTGGTTCAATTCTGTTATTTCTATGAGTAGTAAAAATAGCAGACTGTGTCGACTCAGCCAGCAAGAGAAGTGAAACATAAACAGAAACCATACCTTAATCTTAATGCGAAGAAAACTGAAACAAGTCTTAGCAAAATTAT